TTCGGTTTCTGCGATTTTGGCAAAAGCGATTAGTATCATTTTCGTGTGGAACTGCTCTGGCGGTGCATGGTAGTGGAGTCATAGTAAAAGCCGGCTTTGAGGGGGGATATTGAATATATTTTACTTCTTCCCACAATATTCCCAGTTTGTCATTCTCGGCCGCTTATTCACCGTATTTATTGATCAGACTTTTGATCCACAGTAGCTTTCATGTTTGATTATGACCCTTTTTGACTGTTTCTCCATATGCACACACACACACACACACACACACACACACACACACACACACACACACACACACACACACGCAACCCCGACTGCCCGTGTCGAACTCTGATTGATTGCCAAATGACAGTTGCCCATCGAATCGTTGCCTAGACCGGGTGGGCCTTTGAGTTTTATTGCCCTTTGTTTCAACACTTGCTTGTGATCTCCAAACGCATAGGACATTTGTACATTCAGTACCACAGTACCACTTTGAACAGAAAATTCAGATTTGTTAAATCCGTCTTCTGAGGCACGCGCCTAACTCAACTGGGCTAGGGTTCCCGACGTATCTAACAATGATATGATTTTCAGGAAGGGAGAAGCGGTCAATCAGAAGGCTGTCATAAAACACACAACGGGGAAAGTCAGGCGGTAATGGAGAGATTCGAACACACGTCCTCTGGGGTGAAAATTTGGTGACATTACCAACGCCCTGCAGTATAGAATTTACTTTCTGCTGTCTTCTGTCTATTTCCATCCTACTCCAGCCATTGTATCCGTTTGCAAACTGCTGAAAACTCCCCAGTAGAACGCAGAAAGCGTTTCATCATTTGACTTGAAAGTGGGACTTTTGGACACTGTCTTATAGCATCACTTTGCACTTTGTGCACACCACATAAAGTTGCAGAACTTGTAAGCTTTTCAAGAGCGCTTTGCGCATTTTCCATACATTGAAAAGACAAACGATGTCACTAGTGCTCTAAATTGTAGTTTTTCTCCAGCTGCTCATTGAATACAAATATTCTGGAAACGACTTAGTGCGTTCTTAAGTACATCATCTACGACTAAAACGACACACCTGAAGAACAACGTTGTTGGTTTCGAAAGATTCGCTTAGATGGCCGTATACCGTTGCGCTAACAGCAGTACATGAGTACCATAAAGTCAGTAAGTTAATATACTTTTTCGAAAAAGCCAACCTATTAGATCTCCGCGATCAACCGAGTCGGAGGTTTCTTTTCGGTCTAGACACTGCGATGGTTGGTCGGCTGTGGGTGTGATGTAATTCGAGGACATGAAGCGACAGTTCAGGTCAGTTCAGTTTGTAACAGCATCAATCACGTACTTTCGTGCGCCGGTTTTGGTTGTTGTTTTTTGGCTGCCCAATGAACAGGAAAGGTTGAAAGTAGGATCAAAGAGAAAATTTGGAATTTCAATGGATTAATGTTGTAGAGAAACTGACACGATGCACGAAAGCTATATCAATCAGTGTCTCTAACCATCGGGTATGATCACCCCGAGGTCCCCAGCCAGGGAACCTGTGACCTATAGACCTATGTGACCCAGACTCCTGGTCAGGGTTTTCATACCCTCGTGCCAGATCTTAGCTTGACCACCCTTAACTTCCTTCCACCTACTACCTGCCTCGGCGAACCTGACGCGACGCAAAAATGTGATCCAAATACACATAACCAGAATTGAAACCGGCTTACTTTTCAGAAGTCTAAGCATAACAAAGGTTTAAACTCTGGTGCTCATTGAAACTAAACTGATCCAACGGTGGTTTACTCAATCGTTGTGAGATCTTTTTGGAAATTGGAACAATCAGTGATTCGCTCCAAGATGACGGAATGCGGTCTTCCGACTAATATCGTGCAACAAGTCACTGATAGAACTGATGAGGTTATCACACATAAACACACACAATATGAAAAAGCATCTGATCCTAATGCTTTTCCGCTATTCCGAGCACGAATGTAAGATGGTACTTCTGCGTCTACTAATAATGATCACACGACACAGCCAGCGCACGGCGCTTCAGCGACAACAATGATAACCTGGAGAGAGCCAGGCCAGCTGAAGCGTTCAAAGCAATGCTGGGCTCAGCGTTACAGCCATTACTTCCCATTGTAAACCTTTCCCCCGATCTTATCGTGAATCATTTACCGACCTTCAATATTGGTTCGAGTTAATGGTTTTCCGTCGGGACCGTTTGAGGCTGTCCGTGGAGATGACCAAGGATCCGTACTCAGTCCATCTCCTTGTCTAGTATTCATAAACGACTTATCAGATGTCCTTGGAGAAAAGGCATTATAATTCGATGGTGACACCAAAATATGGAGGACGGTAAAATGTTATGAAGATTACAGGAAACTCTCGACGCAGCTTATCGATGGTCCATCACTAATGACATCGACCAGTCAGCTTTACTAGCTTTGTGGGTAAAGTAATGGAGCGAGTGGTGGCTGCATGGCTTCGGCAGCATTTGGTGTGCCACGGTCACCTGTGCCACCGACAACACGGTTTCCGGCCGGGTCTCTCATGCCTCTCAAACCTGCTACTTGCACGTGAATGCTGGACCGAGGACAAGGCCAAAGGACACGAAACGGACATCATCCTCGTGGACTTCAGCAAGGCCTTCGACAAGGTGCCGTAAGACCTCCTTCTGCGAAAGCTGTCCAACCTAGGCGTAGGTGTGGTCATGCGGAATTGGCTGCGAGACTTCCTCATCGATCGGAAATTCTGCGTCCGTGTTGGCCAATCGCTCTCTGCGTGGCATTCCGTTCCCAGTAGAGTCCCCCAAGGCTCGGTTCTTGGTCCACTGCTCTTTGTGGTATATGTGAACGACCTGCCCGATCAACTGTGCAGCCCATTCCTCATGTATGCGGATGACATCAAAATCTGGCGTACAATCAAGGATCCGAATGATCGAATTTCTCTGCAAGCGAAGTTGAACAACCTGACTCAGTGGGCGGATACCTGGGCTCTTCCAGTCAGTACAACAGTGTGCTCACCCGTACTTGGGGCGTGCTGACTCAGAGGTAGTCTACAATTTCCAGNCGCAAACATCAAGCGAACGAGACCTGGTTGTTATGGTTACGTCATCACTAAAGACCCGAGAAAACACCGATCGGGTCTGTGCTAGCGCATGGAGCATTCTGGGGCCTATTCGGCGGTCTTTCAACCAGCTCACGATGGACGCTTTCAGGCTTCTGTACGCTTCCCATGTCAGACCAAGACTTGAGTATGGTGGTGCGGCGACATACCCCTGCACGGCCGGTGAACTGGTTAAGTTGGGGCGTGTACAACGTGCTGCCACTAGACACGTTGTTGGACTGCGCAGGACCAGCTATGAAGGTCGTCTACAGGCTACTGGTCTGTTCCCAATTGCGTATTGACGCCTTAAGGGAGATCTCATCTGCCTGAGGAAGATCCTGAGAGGTGATATGGGCCCGGAGCTGCAACAGTACTTCCCTTTACGGACAGAGCACCGCACGCTGGGGCACTCTCACGTTGCGGAAACTTCAGTCAGTTGGTCTTCCGCTAGTCTACCGACTGTCGCGTAGGTCAACAACACTCTGGAATTCCCTTCCGGCGATTGTCGTGGAAGAGAAGACAGACGCTACTTTCAAACGGCGTCTGGATGAGCACCTGAAAAGGCTATGGAGGAACGAACACTTGTGATCGAACCTTCGACCCAGTGGTGATGGGGCCTACACGGGCACCCTGCCCTCTGCCCTCAATCCTAACGACTGAATTCAATGTTGAAAAATGTAAGGTTGTATCGCTGCGCCACAGGGGTCGCTTTCCTTACTAGGAACTCAGCCAATGCCGCGTTCTCAAAACAAAAAGGACCTGGGAGTTATCGTTCGTGAGGACTTAGGATGTTTCACACATTGCGCAAAAGCGTTTCCAAAGGCTATAATACACGTTGGATTGCTAAAACGTGTTTTTGGATTACTTGAAATAGATCTATTGCCCCGTTTATTATCAGCTTGCATTAGACCACACACCGAGTTTGCTATACACGCTTGGAATCCATGGCCGATTCGCGACCAAAAGGCACTTGAACGTCCACAGAGAACAGCAATCAAAATGGACACATGGTTACAGTCTAAGACCTACGGTGAAAGGCTGCGAATTCTTGGACTCTATTCGTCTGAATACCGTCGAATACGGGGAGACATGATCCTCGTTTATCACAGGAACCTAACCACCCGTGTAGAACTCTACTAACACTATCCAGGAATGGTTACCTCTGAGGAGATCCGTTTAAAATTCTGCTCGAAAAGAACCGGCTAGACTGCAGGCGTCATTCATTCAGTCTGAGTTTGTAACACCTGGAACTCTCTTCCACCTCAAGTTCTTCGTGCATCAACCATCGATTCATTCAAGTCACGACTGGATGAAGCATTGAATCGCAACTTTTCAGTACCCGTGAGTGAACGCCAGAATTTGCTATTCAATAGTACTATCAACCGAACCCAGTGTGTACAGACCCTATGGGATTCACTAAGCACCAGCTTTGTAATTTACCCATAATAAAAATTTGAATTTGAGTAGGAATTGTCCCTCAGGCAGCAGCTACGTCTACTGCAACAGCTGTTGTTGCTCACCCGTTTCCACGACCCATTTTGTGGCTGGTGTCGAGAATTGTGTCTGGAGTTGGCACTGGGCAAAAACAGACAGAGTTGTGCGCGGAAAGAAGTTGATCGCTGCTATCCGTTCACTGGTAGGGTGAAGCACACTAGCCGATTGGAAAAGCTTCCGAAGCGCTAAGTTAAAAAAAATCCTCACGTTAAAATCACCTGCAAGCTTCGGATCAACCGAAAGAGTTTGGTCAGTTTGTCGTAGAAATGTTCCTATTGTGTATGGGAATGGCAGTTAGTCGATGCAGATACTAAGGTGATGACCAAACACTCTTCAGTGTTGCTTAACTTCCGGACGTTGACTGACCAGTTGAATCACGCCGTACATAAGTGACTATAGACAAGGATTCAATCGATAAGTGAAGCCCTGGCCTTGTTATTGAGTACAATTTCTACTCCGTACAGACGTATTGGACGGGATTTGTCGTCAACTGGTGTGCGGAGGAGGTACCCCGAGGACAGACTCGGTGCACTCGGATGGCTTATGCTACTATGATCCCGAATTTGTGTATCCGACATACGGGAACATCGATCGCTAGAAGAACCGTTGTACACGCTCGTTGATCAACGTAGATCATAGTCCCGGGGTTGAAGACCCCTAGATCCAGAGATGGATTCAGAATCCGCAATCTATTGCGCGGCAAATCACTTACAGCAGTATGTAGGAACAATCTTCGGCGAGCGACGACCAAATTGCTAAAGGGACTGTTATAGATCGCATGAAGGGGCAAAGGTGGGAGGTATGGGTATGGAAGACAGAACTGAACAACGGTTGGGATGTCTGAGCAGTAGCCCAGGTATCGCTACTCACCAGTTTCAGTTTGTTTTTACAACCATTAACCATGTACTTTCGTGCGCCCGTTTGGTTGCTGTCTTTTGGTTGCCCATTTGGATAAAAGAGTGAAATGAAAATTGGAATGTCGAAGAAAATTCAAGCGGAAGGTCGGGAATTCATATAGAGTGGTGTTAGGAGAATAACGAGTGGATGCACGAGCGCCACTATTTGCGACAACTCAGTGTAGCTAACCATCGGTGACCATCATCCCGAGGTCCTCGCCAGGGAGCCTAACGGGGCCTATGTGACCTAGTCTCCTGGTTAGGATTTTCATACCCTCATCCCAGGTCTTAGTTTGACCACCCTTTACCTTTTTCCAATCGCTACCAGCCTTGGCAAACATCGTTCGCCGCGGCAACCTATCTGGCGACATACGTAACACGTCCCGACCAGCGTAATCTATGGAGGTCGATCACTTGCTCTCGTGGCCGACCGCGACTGCCTAAAACTCTACGCCTAACCTCAGCATTGCTAGTCCGGTTACCCCACCAGATTCGTGCAATGCGTTGTAGACAGCGGTGCTCGAACACCGAAAATCTATTTTTATCCTGTTCCCTTAGTGGCCAAGTCTCTGCACCGTAGAGCAGGAATGGCCGAACTGCTGCAGCATACAGCTACTCACCCAGATCGGTTCAATCGGTAGCGCGCTCCTGATTTCCCTGCGCGACAACCGAAGGATTATGGTTTGCGTATGCATTAGAGTTTGATGGATGGGCTAGGGTGACCAGCCACCAAGCAGGTGAAGGATTACGGTTCTCAACAAAAACCCTAAGTGCCGACAGGAACCTAGTTGCAAGGCAGCGAATTAGGCGAACTGGTGGCCCATTTGCTTGGACTGATTATTCATTTATCACACTTTACCGATTGACATCAATCAGAGTCGAACCCCCAAACCGGAGGACCGGAAGCTGGACTTTGTCTGACCTTTCAACTATGATACAATCCTGTGTAGCTCGCTGGGGCACAAGGCACCATATCACCTCAAAGGGCTGGCGCTTTGCGATGCCTAAAACAACAATGATGCACTTTACGGAAAACGATCATACAACGACACAGGAAAACATGAAACCCATTCGTCTCATTACTATCTACCTGCAATGTGTTTGTGTCCCAAACACGGATTCGCTTGTCCACAGAGGCAGAGAGAAATAGACCAGAATCAACCGGATACCATTGTAAACAAATAAGTGGACTGAAATCTCTTGAGTTGGAGGGAACTCCATTGCGTTGGGAATGTGCGCATACTTGGGAAACGCAGGGATAAGTGTATTGCCCGGAATGGGACAGTGTATTTGCAATCTCTGTATTATGTATAAAAATTGCACCCGTATTGAAACCTGAAAGTAAACTATTATTCTAGTAAGATCGAAAATAATGTTCGGAATTACTATCGAGATTCGACCGGGTCTAGGCACATATCTCGTAAAGGACCCAGAGAAGCAAAATCAAAGCCGACTCCATAATCCACGTCCAAATCCAACATCCGCGGGACAAGGAGGGATGATCGGTAGGATTGAATACACCCATTGATCTCGTGAAGCAAAACGCCTTTGGGTGGCATGATTGGAGGATTGGTTAGCTCATGATAGACAGTTCCGTGCTGAGCAATAGCGGCTAAAAGAGAGGGAGAAGTAAATGAGGATGGAACAGTTTCATAGCCACCTCAAACATGCTTAATTGTGACAGTTTTAATCGTCATGTTTAACTCATGTGGATACAACCTTGACCGTTGAATTTTAATCACTCAAAAATTTCTTGCGTTTCAACCCAGTTGTAAATGAAGCAGCCTGGTTAGCATTAGGCCAGCTGAACTGTTCGCTGAAGTATTCTGCCCAGCGATCAAGCTGTTGATCCCTATTGTGAATAGGTTGTCCTCTCTTATCGCAGACTGTTTCACCAACTGCAGTTCGCCGACCTCCCGTATTGCGTATCAGTCGGAACAGTCTTTGACTATTCCCTGATGCAGCCGCTACTTCCATTTACTAGCTATTGTTACCCACCAGTTCTCACCGTCCTTCTTGAGGCTCTTCGTGAGCTGACGTTTTAGATGCCACCTAACTCTATCTGGATCCCGGCAGGTCGGGATTTGTCGTCTTTTTCTCCAGCAAAACTACTGACGCCCGAGATATCCTATACATCCGACGGGTTTGAGGCTCAGACCCACAAGCAACATTTGTTGCGCAATGCATTGCTCGTCTAATCTGATCCCACTGCTCATCTACATCACCATGTTGAGGTGTGCTTAGCTCACGCACTAGCTGTGATTCATAGCGTACCCGAACTGCTGGAACCGATAGTCGATGATGAGCTGTACGAGCTTGCTGAATTCGTCGCCGGCCAGTCAGTCGAAGAGTGAACTGCATTAAAACTAATACATGGTCAGACTCAACTGCAGGTGGTCCAATAGGACCTGCAATTTTGCACTGAGCCACACCAATGCCAACTTACTGTTATGTGTGCAGGGAGGTGCAAAATATTTCAGCACCCTGGATCTGCCCTCGGGATATTGGCAAGTGGAGATGCACAAGGATGACAAAGAGAAGATGGCTTTCTCCATCCCTTCTGGAATTTTTCAGTTTCAAACGATGCCATTTGACCTAACCAATGCATCGGCTAGCTTTCAGCGATTGATGGATATCGTTCTGGGCGACTTAGTGCCGCAGAGGTGTTTGGTTTATTTGGATGACGTCATTGTGCACGGGCACACCCTAGATGAACATTTGAACAATCTAGAAGAAGTGCTACACGCCATTCAAAGAGCAGGACTGCGACTCAAATCCGAGAAATGTGAATTTCTACGTAGTGAAGTCAAATGCCTGGGGCATGTCATTAGTGGGGACGGTATCCGGAATGACCCAGAGAAGACTGACACAATAGCTACCTGGCCGGTACCCTCATCCGTATTAGAGGTCGGTCAGTTCTTGGGACTTGCCTCCTACTACCGTCGGTTCGTTAAAGGATACACGAAGATAGCATTTCCTCTTCATCGATTAACGGAGAAAGGCAGGAAGTTTTTGTGGAGTGCCAAATGCCAGTCGGCGTTCGAGGAATTAAAAACTCGAATGATCCAGTCACCGACCCTCAGTTTTCCTGACGTGGCAACCAACGCAGGACAGACACGGACGTGAGTGATACTGGGATTGGGGCGGTCCTGTCGCAAATCGGTCCGGATCAAAAAGAGCACGTGATTGCCTACGCCAGCCGTTGCCTAAGCAAGCCGGAACGAAATTACCGTACTACACGGAAGAAGATGCTTGCTTTGATAACGTATGTGCAGCAGTTCACACTTGCTTTTGGGCAGGCGATTCACGGTTCGAACGGACCACCAGTCACTTAGGCGGCTACAAACGTTCAAGGAACCAGAAGGTCAAGTCGCAAGATGACAAGAGCAGTTGCAAGTCTTTGACTTCAAGTGCCAGCACCGACCGGGAAAGATACACAAAAACGCCGATTCCCTCTCCAGACGGCACACGCGCCACAAAGACTGCCCATCCTGAGAGATCTCGTTGGTGTCTCTGGGCTATTCGAGCTCCATGGAATGGGCCCAAGCACAGAGCACAGACCCGGAGACCAAGCTGATCTACGCACGAATACAGGCCGGCGCAGACAAACCGACAAGGGATAAATGGCCCATAACAGTTGGGAAAGCCACTGTCTGTGGTCCGCTTGGTCGCGACTACAAATTACGGATAGCATCCTGTATCACAAGTACGGGGAACACTACGAACCGAAAGTTGAAGTACCACAAAGTAAGGTTGCCGAAGTACTGCGGAAATTGCATCAGGAACTGGGTCACTGGGCAACACAAAATGGACCAAGTTGTGTCGAGTTGGTTTTGGTGGCCCCAACAGCGGCGAGATATCGTAAATTTCTGCAACAGGTGTGTGTGTGTCGAGCGCATCCGAATCAAGCCACCAACGCAGTAGCCACATCTAGCAAGCCCCGATAATTCTCGCAGCGTCTTGTCGCCCTTCTTGGGGAACGGAAGTAAAATCGAAGTGTTCCAATCAGTTGGACATGTTTCGGTCCCCCGAATAGAGCGAAAGAGAGAGTGAAGCGGTTTGATGATCACCGGAAGGCATTTGTATTTCTGCCGGGATTCCGTCTTCACCAGGGGCCTTGCCAGACTTCAAGCGACCGAGCACTGCGGTAATTTCTTCTATCAGTTTCAGTTTCTTCTATCGTTGGAGATCACAGTCGACCTCGTATGGGGACGCCATATCGGAATGAATACCCGCCGAATTGCCCAGCGGATGGCGGAGATGTCGAGTAAAATGTTCTACCCATCTGGTCATTCTACCGTCGACATCGGAGATCAGTCACCCGGAGGAGTCGCGCAGAATGTTTTCTACCGGACGCTGATCTTATGATGTAACTCCTGGCTCTGCCCACGTATTCCGGATGCTGCACGCATCAGCGCATAGCATAGCTACCTTTTCCGGAATTGGGCATTCTAAGCCCCCTACTCTTGCGTAGATCTCCGTAGAGACCCCTGTACACTTTTGGTGAGCCCATTTTCCGCATACGTCACACATTATACCACTTACCACCTTTTTACCGTACACTTCATTCAGACACGGGAAGTTGACACGTGGCATATTTTGAACAAAAAATGCGGAATGCGGGTGAACTGATAAATATAGGACACCAAATTTACTGTATAACACAAAACGTGAAAAGAGCGTCAGTAATCACTGAAAAACGGTTTACAGAGCTAGTTTGCAAAAACCTTTCAAAAAGGGTATACCTGAAGCTAGATATTTTACTATCAAGCTTTCTTTTAAAAGTAAAGTAGTGAAACGGACTGCATAGTTCGCTTTACCGTGCTTTTTAACGCACTGCAGTGACAATTAACGGTGAGCAAACTACCACTGTATATGTAATGCGGCCTTCTAAGAGGTCAAAGCAAATACACTTGACAAATGCTTAGACAGATTTCCT